TATCCCTCTGTTAATGCAGCCTAGCACTGTGTTGGCCTTTTTGGCAGCTGCAGCACACTGCTGGCTCATATTTAGGTGATTGTCCACTAGGACTCCAAGGTCCCTCTCACAGTTACTACTATTGAGCAAGGTGCCACCTATGCTGTACTTGTGCATTTGGTTTTTCTTGCCTAAATGTAGAACCTTGCTTTTTTCACCACTGAATTTCATTTTGTTAGATAGTGCCCAGTGTTCAAGTCTGTCCAGATCCTTCTGTATCTTAAGCCTGTCTTCTGGAGTGTTGGCTATTGCTGCCAGCTTGGTGTCGTCTGCAAATTTGATGAGTTCCCCTGTGCGTATAACGTCTGTAAAATTTTTGCTAAACCATCTTTCAATCGTCAACATTATATTTACATATCTTTCAGTTGTGCCCTAATGTAGGTACTAATAAGAAGTCCTTATGATATCAACTAGTCAATCAATAATCGTCTCAGCGATCCTCCTTATCTCTAACCAATCATACAGTTTTTTCCCAAATTTCATAATACTCTGTTTCAGTTTTATTTTTAATCTCTAGAGTTAACCTGTCCATTTCGGCGCAGGATAAAATTTTATTTATTATTTCTTCCTCAGTGGGGGTTTCCTTTCCTTTCCATTTTTGAGCGTATGCCAATCTTGCTGCGGTTAAAATATGCAATAGTAAGTAAAAAGATGCTTTGCTGAATTTATCATTAATAATCCCTAATAAGATTTCTGGTTTTAAATCAATTTTTTGTAATAGTATTTCTTCCAGCCAATTTTTTATCTGATTCCAAAAATTTTGCGCCTTTGAACATTCCCACCACATGTGATATTAAGTCCCTGGAAGCCTTCTACATTTCCAGCATGTTGGTGAGGTTTTTTTATCTATTTTTGCTAGCCTTGTAGGGGGAAGGTGCCATCTATAAAACATCTTGTATAAATTTTCTTTGTAGGAGGTGGCTAGTGTTAACCTCCTGTTGTCAACGCTGCAAATACTGTATATTCTTGCTTTGACAATATGCAGAACTGTCTGGTATTTTTATAGTTAAATCAGGCAACAGTGAAAAAGGGAGGAGAATAAGGATAGGGAAAAAGAAACCGGAAGTAAATCATATCTTCCAAGTTAATTGGAAGATGTGAACCATGACCCCAAAACAAGGGAGGGGAAAAAAATGCTTAGAATGTTTGTATAACAGAAAAGAATCAGATCTAAGCATTTCCACCATGCCGTACTGACGTCTCTGTAACCTTAATAAATGCTTTTAGGAAAAAATATGCCTGAAAGTCCTTTTAAGTGTTTCGTTAATCAGACACATGACACCTGTTTCTGTCCCATAATGATTGCCAATTATCTAGGTCAGGGGTAGGCAACCTTGGCTCTTTTATGACTCGTGGACTTCAATTTCCAGAATTCCTGAGCCAGCTATGCAGAGTTCAAGTTTGGAAAGCCGAATTTTGCAAATCCGAAGAGATCAAAAGACGCTCTTTTAGGAAGAATGATGATTTTTTTATGGTCACTATAGATTTTAAATGGTTCCCTTAGTGCAGGAGTAGGCAACCTTGGCTCTTTTATGACTCGTGGACTTCAACTCCCAGAATTCCTGAGCCAGCTATGCTATGCTATGCTGGCTCAGGAATTCTGGGAGTTGAAGTCCACGAGTCATAAAAGAGCCAAGATTGCCTACCCGATCTAGGTCAATACTGTAACCAAAATTTTTAGTCCAGATTAACATTGTTTCTTTTACCTGTTCTTCTAATAAATCTTGTTCTAATAAATATTGATATATCTTTTTATCATTTGATCTTCTGTTCCTAGAAGGATTTTATCTAATTGTGTATGCTCTAATTTTATCCCTGGTTCTTTTTTGTCTTTTCTGTATCGCGACTGTATTTGTAAGTATGCCCACCATTCCAACTCTATACCATCTTCTGATAATCTTTTCCTTGTTTTCAGATCCCCATTCTCGTCTAAGATATCTTTGTATGTAATTACTCTTCCTAAATTTATGAATTTGGGGTGCATGAATATCTCTAATATGGATAGCCAATTGGGAATTTTTATATAATTATTTTTTTTAATTTTTGTCCACACGTCTAATAGTGCCCATCTAATATGGTGATTCTGAAAGTACTGATGAGCCTTATATTTCCCGTCCCACATTATAGCATACCACCCTATTTGCATATCATGGCCTTCTAATGCCAATAGTCTTCTGTTCTTTAAGTGTATCCAATCCTTTATCCATACCAATATTGCTACTTGATAATATTTTCCCCAATTCAGGAGGCTGTCTACCACATACCTGGCGGACCTGGCGGGTATCACCGAGACCTGGTTGGGCATGGAAGGGGGAGTTCCCCTTGTTGATCTATGCCCACCAGGTTTCCAAGCATTCCATCAGCCGAGGGCCCGGGGTAGGGGCGGGGGGGTGGCGGTCGTTATAAGGGAGAATTTATGTCCAAGGGAGACCACTGTGCCTCAGATAGACGGTGTTGAGTCCCTTC